AATGCCAGAAGATATGCCAGATAGAATGCCAAATAGAATGTCAGAAGATATGTCAGATAGAATGCCAGAAGATATGCCAGAAGATATGCCAGATAGAATGCCAAATAGAATGTCAGAAGATATTTCAGATAGAATGCCAGAACATATGCCAGAAGATATGCCAGATAGAATGCCAAATAGATTGTCAGAAGATATGTCAGATAGAATGCCAGAAGATTTGCCAGTAAGAAAATGTATAAATGTCATGGTGGGGATCACACGAAGTAAAGTAATTTTCTCTCTCTCTCTCTTTCTCCCAATCAACTTTTCTGCAGTACATACATGTCACTTTGCACCATGCAACATGGCAGGGTCGCATAGCACCAGACCGCAGGTGCACCTTTCGCCCCGAGATCTAAAACACCTGTCATTTTGTGCTTGGCAGCGGAGCCAACACGGTTCCGCCTGGCCCATTTTCGTCCAACTCAATTGTCGCTGTTTTTGAAGCCGTACGACAATTTGCACTACGAGCACTACGACCTAAGGTGGATGGCAACGTCAGGGCCAACTGGTGGAGGTGGCATACCTCTCGAGGAGTACAGAAAAGATGTGCCGCCAGGATGGGATCAGGCACATGCCGCAACCTATCCATTGAAGGTGTACATGGATAGGGTGCGCATGTGGTACAGACTTTGGGATGGTCCTGACGAGTCAGTAGGACGGATGCTGGCAGGAAGACTTCGAGGCAGAGCTCAGTCCATCGCTCTGCAGATCAGACTGCCGACGCCGAATGGCGACATCGATGTGGGCGATGCGTCGCTCATTAGATTCATTGATGAGGGGATGGATCAGATTCTTCGGTCCTATGAGGACACTTGTCTCAGATCAGGAGACGGCTCTTATGACTGTGGCAGCTGGTGTGGAACTACAACGACTGAACATTGGACGGCAACCAGCTGGCACTACCGGTGGAGCTCAAGGCCAAAAACCACCACTGGACTTGTGGAGAAACACATTGACTTGGTCAAGCTGACGATGGCCAAAGAACAAGCAGAAGCTGGTCGCTGGGGCATCGAAATCTCTGGTGAGGAGCTGGCAGCTGAAGCTTCTATGGCTCAAAATATAACACTGAGCATCGGTGGCTACACACCTGTCACCATGGTGTATGGCATTCTGCCACGTGGCTTCCTTGACCCTGAAGCTGAAGCTGTCATTGGTGACGAGGACATGGATGCGGCGGAGTCAGTGTTTGAGAGGCCATTGAGACTTCGACAGATTGCTCTTCAGGCTTCACAGGCAGCAATCTTGGAATCAAGAATTTCGAGAGCCAATTGATCTCGACCATCCAGGCTTCCCTTGGAGCAGTTGCTGCCTGGCACCACCAAAGTGGAGATCTACAGAGATGACTCTGGAGGTCAAGGATGGAGAGGGCCTGCCACCATGTTGAAGGTGAACGAACATGCAGGAACTGCCATTGTGGAGTTCCAGGGCAGACCTTACCTCATTGGACTTCGTCACATCAGACCTCTACGTGAAGCTTTCTACATCAACCTCAACACCGAGAACAAGATCGATGCCTCGATCCTAGCACAACAAGTTTTGGAGAGGATGAAGAAGGTTGTAGAGGAGGTCACGCCTTTTCGACCTTTTACGATGGGCCAGGTTCCCAAGATCAAGGATGGAGAGAGCTACATGGCCTCTTTTCCAAAAGACTTCAGTTCCACTGTGGAGAACATGCTGAAGGATGCCAAGAACTTCATAACCTACCACTACGACAACTTCACCTTCCATGGACTTCGATTTGGTAGAGGAATGAAGACGGTGATGGTTCCGGAGTTCTCCAAGGGCATCCTCATCACTTGGACTGAAGGACGATATGGAATCGCCGTGACCGAGCACAACAGTGATGCTCACATTCACCTGAAGGAGCTCATCAACTCCACCTTGGAGAAGGTCTGTCACCTTTACATCTACGGCTTCATCAGCCTCCAAACTGAGGAGCATCACACCAGCGAAGATCTCCAGAAGAACTGGGACACCAACCATCACAGACATCGAAATGGATCAACAACCTCCTGATGCCTCGGGCTCTTCAAATGGACTTGGGCTTGATGAAGAAGCTCGAGTGGAGAAGAGGAAGGGTCCTGATAGCTTAACTTTGGTCTTAGCTCCTGAGAAGAAGAAGAAGATGCGACTTGGATTTGCGTCGCAAGATCTTCTACATCGGAAATCACGATGGTGGATGCTGCATCGACCCCGGAAGATCACGATGGAGCCGCGCAGGATCTGGTTCGAGAATGAGATCTTTTGGACTTCCAAGATCAAGACCAACTACAAGATCAACACACAACCTGAGAGGTACCTTTTCCACCTCCACTGCAAGACCAAGGCCAAGATGAATGTCTACCTCTTGGCAGGTGAGATGTACCGAGTGGCTGAGTGGATGAAGACACTGACGTCTTGGATGAGAACGCAGTGCTGAAGAACTGGTCTGATTTTGAACAGTCAGACAGAGCCGAGCTCAAGCAGTTCATCAACGAGAAGGTCTTCGTGAAGGTCAAGCTGGACCAACTTCCCAAGGAAGTCGTCCTGGTGGACGCAACATGGGTGCGCAAATACAAGCGCACTGACAAGGGCCTGAAGCCGAAATCGAGATTGTGCGCCAGAGGTTTCTGGACCCCAGGAAGTCCGGGCTGCCCACAAGATCAACGACGGCAACTCGACTTTCACAACGACTGGTGTTGTCAATGGCGGCAGCTCATCAACTGGAAGTGACTTCGTGGGACATCTCTGGAGCTTTCCTGAAAGGCTTCTCCTTTGAACGAGTTCGACAGATCCTACGCCAACGAGGAGTGTCATCGCCTCCGAGAAGAGTGGTGATTGTACCACCAGCCAATGTCCGGCGACATCTGGGACACTTCAACCAGGACTTCAACATCAGCGATGCTGACCTGGGCCTTTATGGTTACCTTGGCCTTGGTGACTCTTGATTGAAGAACTCCCACATCAACCACCAAGTCCAGCCTTGTAGCCGTCACCCAAAGTAGGCCACCAAGAATGCTCCGAAGGAGTGAGGTCTCTTCAGCAGTGAGAGCTGTTTCCATGGTGTCCTTCAAGACGCGAGGTTGCATGGAGTCCAAGAACTCCTGCTGATCGATCTTGTACCCTCCATCGGCAGTCTTGGAGTATCGACAGCCACAATGGTTGAAAGGAAGGCCCTGCACAGTGACCTTGCCGAACTTGGATGTGAGGTAGTTGTAGGTCTCCTTCAGGAATTTTGGAGTCCCAGCAGCAGCGATGTCATCCACGTGTGTGGTGGCAAGTGCTTCCAAAGTTCCCTGGCTGTTCTTCCGGACGTAGAGGGTTCTCGTCCAGCAGTGATTGAACTCCTCCAGCAAGCTCCAGGGATTCGTGTAGGCAAAGTTGCCATGCCAGTGGTGCATCTACTAGTCCATAGGCTGGTTTCATGCACTCCAGAGTGATTTGGTTCTGGCCAACTCCATCATCAAGAAGGCCAAGATGCAGCAGTACAAGGATGTTGGAATCATCTACAGGCACTTCCCAACAACAGTGCCGTGGAAGGTAGCAGTGATCCACGATGCTTCATCGGCATCAAAAAGCAGGTCATACAGCCAGGAAGGTGTGATCGTACTCTCAATGCCAGATTTCCTCAACCTGGACAAGCAGATTCACACCATCGACGGCCTGAGCGTGTCAGAAGCCAAGAGATCCAAGAGGATTTCCTACCCTACATCGCATGCAGAGACGTTAGCCGCTATCAGCGGTCTGGAAATTTCATCATTGGTCTCAATTCGGACTCTATGAGATCCTGACCAAGATCAAGAAGCCTTCACTTCAAGCTTTCGCTGCAGCTCAAGAACGTGGCTGCGACTTCTTGCCTGTGGATGCGTACACCGACTGCAGAGACTTTTACGAGCTCACCACGGGCAAGTCCCAACGGGTCTACATCCTGTGTCATCGAGAAGCTCGTGTGGTTGGAAGATTGAGATGGACGATCCTCATACCGACACAGTGCATGCTGGCCGATGCTTTGACGAAGGTGATGGTTGCAAAGCAACTACTTGGTCTTTTGACCTCTGGACTGGTGAATTTCAAGAACGAAGATGGACACCCAACCGAAGGCAGAAGACTTCTGCCTCAAGTGGACTTCAACGAAGGAGACCTAGAAGAAGGATATCAGAAATGGCTTACCAACCTGGTGACTATCAAGGAGATCAAATCAATCCAAAACTTCACTACATCCCAAAGGATGAGTTCCTCGAGTTCTACACCGAGAACTACCAGCACAAACCTATGGCTGATTGCCTTCATGTACATGGCAATGAAGGTCGCGGCACACGATGGACAGTGCCAAACAGATGGAGTTTCACAACGCCCAGAGCACAGGGGCACCACCGTACAGATCGTGGTTTTCTCAGTGATGACCACGCTTTTGCTCGGACTGCTTACTGCAGGCTGTTTTCTTTGGAAGAACATGCAGAAGCTGACCGCTTTTGTGGAGCTGGAGACAGAACGAATCGCCCAGGGGACCCATCCTCTATCGATCAGAAAGCTGAGCATCGAGAACGCTCACGAGGAGATGTTCGATGACTTCAACACCAGAGTGGAAACCTTGAACTACCATGCCAGAGCGATGGGCTCCGACATCCAGAACCTACTACGACGTCGTGCACCACCACATCCTGATGAGCCCTCGGCATCAAGGCCTAGATTGGTGGACACACGTCCTACTTTGCCTGAACCTGAGAGCGGAATGGATGATAGTCATGAAGAACCTGACATGGAGACGGACTTCATTGAACGTACGTTCAACGATGCTGCGTTAAGGTCTCGAGATGGCGACACGATGAGTCGCACACCTTCTGAGGTGAGTTTGGATGGAGCACCTCATGACCTATGGCAGTATCAACATCGGGAGCAGAGACTGAGAATGAGGCGCCACCTGTTGACTACCCAGGGAAACAACCTCCAGAATGCCATCCGGGAGGAAATGGCCAACACAGATGATGGCTGACTGGACGAAGAGACGGTGGTGGAACATGCTCCTGACACTCCAATTCTGGGAGAATATCAACGAGGAGACACAGTCACGGTACTGGCAGCAGAGAACAACGAGCTGACCTACGTGCTCGTTGAGGAGCACTCCAGCTTCCCCTTCGTGACTTTGATAGGGCTGCATGGATTTAGGTTGGGCCGAATGGCCACGAGACTCGAGCAGGATCTGACCCCTGCAGAATACAGAACCCGAGTCCACAACCTGTACCGATATTACAGTACAGTGTAGCCCGAAACCAGCTCAGACACATGAGCAGAATCAACTTTTCTGCAGTACATACATGTCAGTTTGCGCCATGCAACATGGCAGGGTCGCATAGCACCAGACCGCAGGTGCACCTTTCGCCCCGAGATCTAAAAAAGCTGTCATTTTAGGTCTCCCTCTTTCTCCCTCTTTCTCTCTCTTTCTCTCAATTTCTCTCTCTCTCTCTCTTTCTCTCTCTTTCGCTCTCTTCTCTCTCTTCTCTCTCTTCTCTCTCTTCTCTCTCTTCTCTCTCTTCTCTCTCTTCTCTCTCTTCTCTCTCTTCTCTCTCTTCTCTCTTCTCTCTTCTCTCTTCTCACTCTCTGTCTCACTCTCTCTCTCTCTCCCTCCCTCCTCTTCTCTTAAGGCGGGGGCGTTGGCCACGAAATGAAACAGCTTCGCACGAAATGAGGTTCCATCGCCAAAAACTCGGGCAAAATTGCGATTTTGACGGGTCTGCTGCGACCCTTACGTTCGAAATGAGGTTCGATCGTCAAAAGCTGAGGGAAAATTGCGATTCTGGTGCGTCTGCTGCGACCTTTACGCGCGAAATAGGGTTTGATCGTCAGAAGCCGAGGAAAAATTGCGATTCTGGTGCTGCGACTTTTACACGCGAAACCAGGTTCGGTCGTCAAAAACTGCCGAAAAATCGCGATTTTGAGTGGCCCCGTGCGACACTTACGCACAAAGTGAGGTTCCATTTGTGTGTAGAAGCGTCTGTGTGTCAAAGCGTTTCTGTGTGTAAAGGCGGCTGTGTGTAAAAGCGGCTGTGTGTAAAGGCGTCTGTGTGTAAAAGCGTCTGTGTGTAGAGGAAAAGCATCTGCGTGTAAAAGCGTCTCTGTGTAAAAACGTTTGTGTGTAAAAGCGTCTGTGTGTAAAAGTGTCTGTGTGTAAAGGAGTCTGTGTATCAAAGCGTCTTTGTGTGTAAAAGTGTTTGTGTGTAAAAGCGTCTGTGTGTAATTGCGTTTGTGTGTAAGAGCGTCTGTGTGTAAAAGTGTTTGTGTGTAAAAGCGTCTGTGTGTAAAAGCGTCTGTGTGTGTGTGTAAAAGTGTACGTGTGTAAAAGCGTCTGTGGTAAAAGTGTCTGTGTAAAAGCGTCCGTGTGTAAAAGCGTCTGTGTGTAAAAAGTGTCTGTGTGTAAAAGTGTTTTTGTGTAAAAGCGTATGTGGGAAAAGTGTTTGTGTGTAAAGCGTCCGTCTGTGTGTAAAAGCGGCTGTGTGTAAAGGCGTCTGCGTGTAAAAGTGCCTGTGTGTAAAGGAGTCTGTGTGTGAAAGCGCTTGGCGGAACTAGACGTTGCATCCTTCTTCATTGTCTCAACTGGTTGGTGGCGTACCGTCGGGAACACCTCGACAGTACGGCTAGAAAAACTGGTGTCCGACATTTGGCTGCATCGGAATGCCACAAAGGCTTTGGGGAGGCCATTCAATACACTGCGTAAAGAACGGGGTGTGTAAACCCATCAGTGTGTAAAGATCTTACGCGTAACCGTGCCCGTGTGTGAGCCTGTCCGTGTGTAAAAATTTGAGTATGGGCGTGTTTGTGTGTGTGCGCGTGTAAAAGCGTGCGCGTGTAAAAAGATGCGTGTCTGTGTATCCCTCCTACCTTAATGAAATTATTTCAGGGGGGGGGTTACCCTCCAATTTTTTTTTTGAAAATAATTTCAAAAATCTAACATGTTGGATGTATAGATTTATAGACTCTAACCATCACCAAAATAATTTCTGGTTGGAAATTATTTTGATGGGTTACCCCCCCTCAAAATAATTTTGACGAAAACACTCTCACAGCAAAAAAATATTTCAAAATAATTTTGGTGTTTGACCTTGTTTTGATCCGATGGCATATTCCATCTTTGGATGAAGGAATGTCGTACACTCAAGTTTCTGCAGGCTGTGTTCACACAGTACTTCTTCGCAGTGATGGCAGTGTTGTAACTTTCGGAGGAAACGATGTAGAACAATGCGATATCCCATCTTGCGCAATGTTGGACTTGCAAAAGTGGCTTATTATGTTTTAGGTTTTTTGTTTTTTAGGATTGATGCGTTGCGAATCCTACAACGCAAATAAATTCAACATCATGTTTCATGTGTGCTCCCTGGTAGTCATGTCAGAATCTCCCCTCAATCTTAAGTTGCAGCAAGAACGCATCAAAACTTGCAACTCGAAACCAAACTCGTTCTTTAAGAAATTATTCAAAGGATCTTGGAGATGCCCTGCATTCCTCAAAAATCAAAGTGGGAAGCTGCCAGAACCATCCAATTCGCCCATAAACTGGAAACAAATGAAAAACCTATCAAAACCGAACGCTTCCCAAAAAAGAGTTCGTTGGAGGGAAGTGAAGGGAATATGGGAGAAATAATGGGAAATATGACAGGTTAGGAAAATCACTACAGGAAAGGGCCAGGTTGAATACTATTTTGTGGTATTTCCCACGGGGAGAAATTATTTTAGGGGTATTGGAGATACCCTGCACTCCTCAAAAACCAAAGTGAGCAGCTGCCAGAACCATCCAACTCGCCCAGAAACTGGAAAAAAATGAAAAACCTATCAAAACCGAACGTTTCCCAAAAATGAGTTCTTTGGAGGGAAATGAAGGGAATATGGGAGAAAGAGGGAGAAACATGAAAGGCTAGAAAAACCACTAAAGCAAAGAGCTAAGTTGAATACCATTTTGTGCGATTTTCCAAGAGGAGAAATTATTCTAAGGGTATTGGAGATGCCTTGCACTTCCCAAAATTCAAAGTGAGCAGCTGCCAGAACCATCCAACTCGCCCATAAACTGGAAACAATTGAACAATCTATAAAATCCGAACGCTTCCCAAAAAAGAGTTCTTTGGAGGGAAATGACGGGAATATGGGAGAAATAAGAGGAAATATGACAGGTTAGGAAAATGACTACAGGAAAGGCATACTATTTTGTGGGATTTCCCAAGCGGAGAAATTATTTTAGGGGTATTGGAGATACCCTGCGCTCCTCAAAAATCAAAGTGAGCAGCTGCCAGAACCATCCAACTCGCCCATAAACTGGAAACAAATGAAAAACCTATCAAAACCGAACGCTTCCCAAAAAAGAGTTCTTTGGTGGGAAATGAAGGGAATATGGAAGAAGAAAAAGGAAATATCACAGGTTATGAAAATCACTACAGGAAAGGGCCAGGTTGAATACTATTTTGTGGGATTTCCCAAGAGAAGAAATTATTCTAGGGGTAGTGGAGATATCCCGCACTTCCCAAAAATCAAAGTGGGAAGCTGCCAGAACCATCCAACTCGCCCATAAACTGGAAACAAATGAAAAACCTATCAAAACCGAACGCTCCCAAAAATGAGTTCTTTGGAGGGAAATGAAGGGAATATGGGAGAAATAATGGGAAATATGACTCGACTCTCGCATGAACTCAGAGGTCCATAATGACAGGTTAGGAAAATCACTACAGGAAAGGGCCAGGTTGAATACCATTCCGTGGGATTTCCCAAGGGGAGAAATTATTCTAGGGGTATTGGAGATACCCTGCGCTCCTCAAAAATCAAAGTGAGCAGCTGCCAGCTGAAAAAAAACTATAAACACCGAATGCTTTCCCTTTCACACTCATTCCTACCGAGTGTTCTTTGGAAGGAAATGAAGGGAATGTGAGAGAAATGTGGGGAAGTATGAAAAACATGGAAATATGTAGGAAAGAGCCAGTGATGAAGATGATGGTTGAACATCATTTTGCGGGAATCCCCAAGTTTTTTTTTAAATCTTTTTTTGTTCAACCATTTAAATTTTAGATGAAATTATTTCAAAACATAGTTATTCCAGGGAATATTGAAGGCTTAGATTATAACTCGCATATTCCAATATGCACATCCGTAGGCCCACTGCTTAGGAAAATTATTCAACAAGATGTTTTCTTTAAACATATTCCAAAACCTGGTTGATACCCCCGCGTTTTTCTTGAAGGGATGGAATATCCCCGGTACACCTGCGAAGGCGATCATGTCGGGTAGGGGGGGGGTCACAAAGTATACATATGTAAAGATTGGAGTCTCCGGAGGGGGGCAAAATAATTAACTCCCCAGGGGTTGAAATAATTTTTACGAAGGTTCACCACCGTCGATGAATGGGAGGGGGGGGGTCTATCGTAAGAAATTATTTTACCCTAAAGAGGGTTGTTTCGTATAACAACCGAAGACACTATCAACCCCCTGAAAATAATTTTGGAAATTATTTTGAGGGGGGGGGAGGGGGGGGTAGTTTAGGTAGGGTAGATGTCTGTGTATTGTCTGTGTATGTAAAAAACTTATGTTTGCAATTGCATCTGTGTGTAATAGCGTGCGTCCGTGTAATAGCTTCTCCGTCATTCTATTTCCAGCACTCTGTTCCAATGTGTCCCTTTCACCCCTATAATACATTGTATGCCTATAATACATCTTATGCATATATTTGTCTTGATACAAACAGCAGGGCAACTTGCTCCTCTACTTACGCTCTCGGGCCATCCGTCGTCTAGTTCCCTAAGCAGTGTGTCCACACTGTTCTTACGGTAAGTGTTAAGGCTGGGGTTAGGTCAGGGTACGCTCTCTGGTCCCTGCCTTTTTTGCTGTAAATTCTCGCATAAAAGTGGCTTCGTGTGATATCCATGTGCATTTCGACTGCTGAGGGTCGCACAAAGTTTGCGCTGCGGGGTTTTCATGATCTTGGGCCCCGGCGTTTTTCCTGATTTTTTCCTGTAGGTTCCCGCACGCAATTGCTTTTGTGATATGTCCATGTGCATTTCGACAAATTATTTCGATTGCGCAGGCTCGCACGAATTTGTCTCGTTCCCGGCATGTGGCATTTTTCCTGTAAATTCTTGCATAAAATTGCTTTTGTGAGACGTCCATGTGCATTTCGACTGCGTCTCGGCTTGCGCTAAGTGCGTTTTCATGGTAAATTCTCGCATTAACGGGCTCTTGTGGAGATCCTGCTGCAGAAGATATTGTGGAGATGCTGGTGAGATCCTCTCTAAGTGGTCCTTGCATGAAGATCTTGCAGATGCCATGTCTTAGACGTGCTTGTATCAAAGCTCTTGCCGGAGGCTCTTGGGAGGTTGTTGTATCAAGATCTTGCTAGATCCGCTCCAGCAGCAGCAGGTCCATTTCTGACGAGCTTGTGAGCTTATCTTCGGGGTCCTGGCATGAAGATCTTGGTCAAGGTCTTTAACGGGTTCTTGTGAGAAGCTCTTGTGGGATCCTATAGTGGGATGCTGCCAGAGGCCTTTGCATGATCTTGTGCAAGTCCTTGTGAGAAGCTCTTGAAGAGGTGAAATCCTTTAGGCGTTCCTACATGCTCTCGTACAGGTCCTGGTGAGGAGATCTTGTGGAGATACTGTTGAAATCCTCCTCAAGAAGCCATTGCATCAAGATTTTGAAGATCCTGTGCGTTGGTGCTTGTATGAAAAATCTTTGGATCTATGAGCTCCTTTATACAGATCTATAGAAAAGGTCCTGCTGCTGCAGTTGCGATCATGGTCTAACCTCACCATAGCTCCTGTTGCTTGTATCTAGCACATTGGCTCCCTACCCCCACGCTGTTTGGGGTTTCTTGCCGGTGTAACTTTTTAAAAGCATAATATATAGGTGGGTGGTCTCAGACAAATTCTGTGCCAAAGTCATGGGCATCGCACTTTCCATTGTTGTCGGGCACACGTGTCGTTGCATGGTGACATGCATTTTTCAACACGTCTCACCCTTACGATCCCCTACGTAGTCTCCTGATGCACTTCGTGGGCCGTTAAACACCCACCGGTCGCCGAGGTTCTGTCACAGCCTCAGAGCGGCGTCGCGTTGTCCGCAGAGCTCACATCGGATTGCATATCGCATCATATCGCTACATACCAATTACATATCAGATTATCAGTAGGTCACTATGTCATCATGTCATCATTATCTTATCACTTACCTACACTAGATGCATCACATATCATCACACTGCAGCACCATGTATACGCTGCGCCCATTCCATTTTATATACGAACTCACAGTGAACTTGTTGGCATTGGCCTTCAGAAGATGACATGAGAGTGCACATTGTCAGAGGGTGGAAACCACATGAGTCCCACAGACACATTATGAAAAACTCAGGTATTGTCCGTGCGGTTATGCTGTCTGGGAAGGTCCAAGAGATTTACAGGACATCGGTTATCCAAAATTCGCTACAACCAATATGGAAAGAGGCCAGGGAGCGGCTACACCCTAATAGTACTGAATGAATCCGAATGATGACTTTGTTCGGGGTTTGATTGCTGTGCTGTTCACTCTTCCGATCAATTCCCTAGCAATAGATCCAGCAGCGCTTTGTGCCCATGCTTGCAGGCCTTTCAATCATCTTTCTCTGAACAAGATCAGCCGGAGCCACAGACCGCCAGAGACAACGTTACAAGAAACATGACACGTCACCAGTCTCAGGCATCCCATTTTCTTTATCCGTTTTTCTGACTTGCTGGTCAGGAGCGGTGAAGGATCAGAGTTCCAGCCTCTGTCCCGGTGTTTTGACACAAGGCCCTTGCTGCTCCTGTTCGACCTATGGGATGAAGATGATCCCAACAAACGACTGGAGGCTGGCTACTCCACAATGGTTTGCTGTGAGACATGGTGGATATTATTGGCCCCATGCCATGAGGTATATTCCATGTCCTAGGTCCTTGAACTAGGTAAGTCTCAGACACGCTTGGCCTGTGCTTGCTGCCGCATCCTAATGAATGCTTGTTCCAGGAAGGTGGGGCGCAGCACCTGGGATCCTGTGCCGTGACCCACTGAGGGGAGACAGGGTTCGAGATTCAAAGGAGGGTTTTGACCTTGAGATTCTGGTGATTCTGGTTTGTTTCAAGGTTGAGCAGCCCATTGAAAATAGATGCAGAAACCTCACTAATTTCAAAGAATTTGATTCACAGCCCGCAGTGATTCACAGCAGCTTTCTGAATGGGACAGGAACTCAATGAAACTGAAGCGGGAAGGGTACGAGAAGGGATATCGGATACCACTGAATGCAAGATATGGAAGCAGGTGCCGCTGCTAAGTGCCGTCGAGCCAGCACCACGGAAGAGACGGCTCTGGCTCCAGGCCGACGCTCCAAGTGGAACGGCCCAGAATGGCAGTGTTGTGGCAGCATTGTTTACTCTTCTTTTTTCACCGGTCAGGGTGTCAGCCAGCGTCATGAGACTCGGTTAAACCAGAATGGCGCTGCTTGGCTCGGCTTAGCTTTGACTCAAAATGCTGTTGCCCTCGCCCTGAAACTGTTAGGTCCTCAATAGGCGAATTTTTTTCCCCCCGTGGCGGGTGAGGTTCCTAAAAACGCAGGGGGCAAAATGACTCCAGGCAGGTGAGGGTATACCCCGTTGGGATGGCCGTGTTGCTGCGATCTTTCAGCTGCTGATCCGGGCATAGCATCTCGTTGCACAGGTGCCAAATTGTCACGCCAGAGGTCTAGTGCCACGCTCAGGGAACCCAAGGGTGCCCCGTTGCCACTATAGGGCTTGGTATACATGAATTGGCATGGGGGCCCATGCTGCCTATTGACCATGTGTGTCGCCGGTATCGCTATGTCTCTGAGGCCATGGATTGTCGTTGAAGGAAGACAGGAAAAAGACGTTCAACATCGGAAAGGCGTTCTCCCTGGTGCAGCCCGGTGAGCGTTTGGCCTGGTACCCGACAATATAGGAAATTGAAGGACCGGATAGCGCCACATGTCAACTTCTTCCAACAAGCCGCGAAAGAAAGGTGAAGCCGGGATGGGCAGGAGATGACGGAAGGCAGATTGTGTGAAACAGGTACGTATGAGAGACTTGCATGTAAGAGAGTTTCTTGTGAGAAGGTTGTGTGATGTTGTGTGTGTGAGCAAGTTGTGTGTGAGAGTGTGTGTGAGTTGCGTGGAGAGTGGACGGCAGATTGTGTGAAAGAGGTGCGTATAAGAGAGTTGCCGATGTCACCAAGTGCCACGCCTGCCACACAAAAGACCGCGGCGTCACGGGCCGGCCGCGACCAAGCGCGTCGCCACAGCCAGCCCAGTGCCATAAGCGCCGCCTGCCACACAAAGTGAAGGTCGATGTCACCAAGTGCCACGCCTGCCACACAAATCCACACAAAAGACTGCGGCGTCACGGCGGGCCAGCTGCGACCAAGCGCGTCACCAGAGCCAGCCCAGTGCCACGCCTGCCACACAAAGTGAAAGTGAAGGTCGATGTCGCCAAGTGCCACGCCTGCCACAGACAGTGAAGTTCGCCACGCCTGCCACACAAAGAGCCGCAGCGACAAACGGGAACATAGCACGCCACCAGAGCCAGCCCACCTGCCACAAAAAGTGAAGGTCGATGGCGCCTCGTGCCACGCCATGCCACGCCTGCCACACAAGTGAAGGTCGATGTCACCAAGTGCCACGCCTGCCCCACAGAGCCGCGCGACAAACGGGAACCAAGCGCGCCGCCAGAGCCAGCCCAGCGCCAAAAGTGCCACGCCTACCACGCACAGTGAAGGTGTGTGTGTGTGTGTGGGTGTGTGGGAGAGTTGTGTGTGAGAGTGTTGTGTGTGAGCAAGTTGTGTGTGAGTAAGTTGTGTGTGAGAGTTGTGTGGGAGTTGTGTGTGAGAGTGTTGTGTGTGGGAGAGTTGTGTGTGAGTAAGTTGTGTGTAGGAGAGTTGTGTGTGAGTGAGTTGCGTGTGAGAGAGTTGTGTGTGTGTGTGGACCATCTGCACAGATGTAAAACTTCCTTCTGGTTGTTCCGTTCTTTTGTTTTTTGGTTCAACAATTTCTTCTTTCAATTTACGCAGGGGGATGGAGTGTGCTTCAGATGTCTCCATCCAACGAAGACGCATCTGTTGCACAGTGATATGGATTGGGGACGCTCAATCCACGTACCTGCTCAATCTTTTTCATTTTCGTCAATGGCGACCGGCTAAGCCAAGTACCGGCATGTCGTTTGATTTTCCATTTCTTCATTATGGATTATGCTGCATCCGAACCTTCCTCAGAGCTTCGTTTCCAATAGGTTTCAAACCACTGTACGGTTTTCGCAATCTGATTTACTGCTGACTTCGTCAGATGGAACAGTTGCATCTAATCAGGATGGTGAAGAATTCTTCTTTATTGGTTTTCTCGCCTAGTCATCCATTTTCTCCTGTCAGACTTTACTGGATTGTTTGTGCACGTGCGATGCATTCCACATCAGTAATTCGATAAGATGTTTCTGAGCAAGTGTGTCACTCATACCGTTGTCCGACAAGGTGGTATGAGCCCTTCGGGGAAAGCCTTTCTAGGCTAAAAATTGACGGTAAAACGATGTCGGAATTTACACTTTTGAATTAGTTAGTAATTCGTCTAAGTAAAGTGAACAGCTGGCCACTTTCCTGGTCTCACACGTCGGTCGTGAAGTGTGTGTTGAACAGCTTCCCGCTGTCTTGGGGTTCTTCTTTTTTGCCAATCTGCATAGCTGGAAGCCACGTCAACAATCGTTCCGGTTTTCCCAAGAGACTGACCGCAGCCATTTTCACATGATTTCACAGGCAACAGGACATCCTTGCAGGTATGGTACTTCTTTCTTTTTTGGTCGTTGGTGAGGTTCAATTGTGCACGTAATTCGAGGGTTGAACACGTAAGCTGTCCAGAGGGTTGTGACTTGAATTCTGTCCATTGAGCCTAACGAGGGGACTCCTGCATGCTAATGTGGATGCATCTTGTTTGAACTAATTTTTTCAATCGTCTGACAGTGCTGCCATGTTTCCTGGACGGTATCCTACCGCTCCCGACAACATGTGGACCTTCTGGAACCCACAAGCGATGGGACTTCAAGGTCAATTTTGTGGCGGTGATCTTATGAACCAACAGTCACAGGCTCAGCTCCAAGCTCAGACTCAGGCACAACTGGCGGCTCTCAGAGAGCAAAATAACATCTTGAATCAACAACTGGGAGTACAAGCTCAGACACATATCCAGCACCTTCAACAGCTTCTTCCATTTCATCAATCCACGTTCCATCCACATCCTTCTCAGCCCACAACTTCAGCGCCTGATCCACCAACACCGGTGGCACCTCAATCCACACCACCGGCATCCAGTGCATCCTTCAATGCAGAGGAGATGATGCAACAGATGAAGAACACGGTTGAGTCCAGTATACAAGCGTTTGTGGACAAGACCCAAGAGCGCAACATGAACCAACCTCCTGCTCCGGCTCAACCACCAATTCAAGCTTCTCCACCTATTCCAAGTCATCCTCCTTTACCGGGTGAAGCTCCACCACAGCCACAACACCCTTCACGTCGCTCTCGGTCTCGCTCCCATCGGCACCGTGGGGCACCAGACAAACGTCCAGTCTCTGTTCCACGAAGTCCTCGTCGTGCCACACCACTGAGACGAACATATCGTTCCTCTCGACCAAGGTTGTCACACAGAAGACGACATTCCACTTCGAGAGATCCATCAAGACGTCCAAGTAGAGCCTCTTCTGTCAATTTGCGATCAGCCTCTCCACGTCGACGAGAAGTACTACCAGACAACAATGACTTTTATCGTGAGGCACCCAGCCGCGAACCAGCTACACTTCATCCAGCATCGTGGGAACACCAACGATATCATCAGGCTCCATCACCCCACAACGAGTACTACCAGAATGAGTACCCATCCTACGACCAGCCATCCACCAACAAGTGGAAATCCTGGAGCCAATGGAAGGACTATTCAAAGTCCCAACCTCGAACCCATTCATCGGGTTGGATTGACTATCCCAAGACCTCCTCCAAACATCACCGCTACTATGACTCTTCCTACAAGTCGTCCAGCAAACCTCACTGCATTTTCCTCCGACCGTCCACGTCATAACCCACACAGATCCAGCTCAATCCAATCTCGTGTGTCCACCAGTGCTGTCCCTCCCGGACATGTTCCCATCAATCTCCAAGATGGTTCGAAAGAGGAATGGGCTCGTCATGTTGAACATGCCTTGAATCATCCAGACAGGATGTGAGCTGCCAATGAACTCAAGCCAGAAGAGCGTCCTGTGGTGACCACCTCTATGTCACAAGATGAATACGATGCTGCGAAGGAACAGCTCCATCAGGTCGACTCGAGAATTCCAGTTGATGTAGTGGAGAAGGCTATCCAACTATTCTTCAGCACCAACCTTTTTCCGGACTACGACCTCTCCACATGCTACGTCCGTGAACTTCCTCATACCAGCATGCTTGCACTCATCGTGCCATTACCATCAATCAGTCGATTCTCCATGCCGCCTCCTTTTGGCAATCAGCATAGCCACACCTGGGCACTCTGTCATGGAACAACCTTCAACTCCGCTCAACTGATCCTCTTGGAAGGTAAGATCCGACCGGCCAACTGGTCTTACCACAAGAATCCACAAAAGTGAAATCTCCAACGCGGACACAACATTTCCGACCTGGGTAGAAACGGTCCTCCTTGATTCTATGGAGAAAAAGGGCAAGGGCCAACAGGCAGTCACCGTGGGCGCAATGTATAGAGGAGCCCACGAGCACATCCGCTTCCAAGCTGGTGGCAACGAAAAAGCCCAAGTTAGCGTGGGCGACAAAGGCGTAGCTACCACGTCTGAGAAGTACACGATTGCCCACAGCAATCATGTGGGCCTACATTTCATAGCTTTGAAATGGGCCGACCTCAAAGGCTCCAGGAAACTCGACAAAAAGCCCAGAGAAATTGACCTCGGTGACACTGACTCCGAAGACTACACCTACCGCGGCAATGAAGATCGACGTCGTCGTGGCTAACCATTTAGTCTGCCAAAGACTGCTTTTTGTAATTTTAGCGACATTCGGCCTAAACAGGACTCCGAATCACCTTTCTAGGATTTCCCTGGACAAAAGCTTTGGATCAAAATGCACGGTTGCTTCAATCTGAATGCACTTGTAACCATTATTTGCTCTAAAGTCACTGGCGTCTTTTTACTTCTTTGGTTTGTACCTCCTGTCATCATGTATGTTCTTGCTGGAAGGGTTTCGGTTTTGCAATTCATGACTTTATTTTGCCTGTTTGGGATTTCATTGGATGACTTACATGTTGTCCAAACTGCCTCTTTCACTCATAGTCTTATTGAGTTGCAGTCAGTTTTCAGCGACCAAAAAACGAACCTGCCTGCGCACTCATGGCGGAGTCGGGCCGTTCCAGATCACCTGTACCTGGACGAAACCGAGCTGATCCAGGCGCTGCTGCCCAACAAGTACGACAAGAGCTGCCGTTCTTTCCTCGATGGTGTGGGCCCATGCAATCAGCGATTTGGCAATCGCAACGGATGCCACGGCCTCAGTTTCGACCTCAGTTTCGTCCTCAGTTGAATATGCCACAGCCGGGACCTTATGTTGGAAATCCATCCATGAGTCAGATCTCTGCCTCACAGTCGGGCACATGGCCCAGTCCACGGTTTCCACCGGCACCTCCTTCATCTCCTCCGCCAACCTTGGCATATCAATTTCCAGGTCGCCCATCAACTCCACCTTGCTCACCCACATTGCCCTGTCCACCCACTCAAGTGGCATCGCCCAGCACTCCATCCATTCCATCATCCCAGCCTCGTCAAGCTGGCACTCCTTATGTAAACTCACCTGGTGGTCAAACAACAGCTGATGATAGCCGCACCTATGGCTTT